TTCTTCTTTTCTATAAAATATTTACCTCAAAATATTGTATAAATATTTGAAAGTACTTCTAAAATATTACAAATATTTTGAAAATATTTTGTTAGTATTTTCACAATTTCTGGATAAAATTTATTGTTGATATAAACATACTTATATATATGTCCAATTTTTTGCAATTTTATAATATATTAAAATTCAAATATGATGAAATATTTATCTCTACTCTACAGAAAACAATATAAATAAAATTTATGAATAGAAAATAATACCATATCTATTATATATATATTATTATTTATATATTAATGGTAAAAACAATATATAAATAATACAGCTAATGATAAAATTATAGATGGTAAGCACTACAAACCACTATCTACCATGCAAATTTTGTAAAACTAAATAACACTAATAAGTAAGCAATAAAAATCCTTCTATCAATAAATTTTTTAAAACTAAATAACACTAATAAGTAAGCAATGAAATATCCTTCTATCAATAAAGTTGTGGAACCAATAAAAAAAAGAAAAAAAAAAAAGATAAAATCACCTTTTTAAAATGTATAATTATGCAATCTAACTTGAAAAAGACAGTTTTGTTATGGAGCCATCGGATGACTCGACTTATGGAGTCATCCACACTTATTCACCAATAGTTTATTGACACATGTCTTGGAAACAATTTGGATAAATGTCAATACATTAAATGGTGGATGGCTCCATAAAAAAACCATTCGATAGCTCCATTTTATGAAAAAGATCAAAAATTCTATGGAACCATCGGATTGTTTTCTTATGGAGCCATCCACCACTTAATGTATTGACACCTGTCCAAAGTGTATTTATTGTAGGAAACGTGTCAATACACTATTGGTAAATAAGTATAGATGGTTCCATAAGCGGAGCCATCCGATGGTTCCATAGCAAAACTATGAAAAAGATACGTAATGTTAGTTTGAAACTGAATAGAATTTTTAATAGCTCATTTTAGTCACTCCTCTCCGCCAATCCATTTTATGAAAAAGATACGTAATGTTAGTTTAAAACTGAATAGAATTTAGTCACTCCTCTCCGCCAATAAACTTTTTATTGCCTCACTTGGGTAGGAATTACATAACTTACATCAATTTTGGTTTCAAATGAGGAAAGTTGTATAACTAATTATGATATTTGAAATTATAAATAATGCATTTTTATAAAAAAAAAAAAGATAAAAATAAAATGCGCGGGACAGGATGATACACTTTGCACCACCATTTTGAATAAAAAAGATTTCAAGAAATGACCATAAGGAAGAAAAAATAAAATTGTATCACAACATAGGGAAAAATTCAGGTCTGAATCGAACCAAGATTTTCTACACTAGAATAGTTGAATCGAACGGAGTGGATGGTGTGGCTCAATTTTTGGTTTTGTATTGATTTTTGCATATTTTGAATCGAACCACAACGGAGCGGATGGTGGAAATAAAGACGCTGCTTAGCTTTTCTCAAGTAATCTTTACATTTAAACTCCGCTTTATTATTTAGTCAAAACTGATCCTTTGATTTCCATTTCTACTCCAAACAACAGTTATTATTTTTTTGTTTTGTATTTATGTTTCTTTTTTTTATTCTTATTTAACTCCATCCTCATCTTCTCATTTTTTTTTTCTCTCTCTCTTCACACGATAAACCACTCCATCCTCATCTCTTTTTTGTTTTTTTACTAAATCAGAGAACCCACCCCAAAAATTCTCAAAATCTCTCATTTTTTTTATATGGGATAAATCTTAAGGGAGGTTTTGGAAATCGAGCAACACACGGCGGCTATCTTTGTGAGTCGCGGGTACCGCCGACAGACCCCGTCAATGCCGAAAATTCACCATTCGCTGCTACCGAAAAGAGACGATTCGCTAATACTGTGCTCAAGCCCATCTCCAATGTCCTCTCCTCTTTTTCGTGAGAATCATGAAATACAGAGGATATGTTGTGTGATCAATTTATTCTTATGTGTAATCGTCTTCAAGTAAACACCTCCAGGCTGTGATTTGCTTTTTTTGATTGATGATATTGTTGTGTTTATGCAAAACTTTTGTAGATATAAGTAGAAATAGGTTGTGGCTGATTCTAAATTTTTAAGAATCGGACTAGGTCTTTTGCGTGAAAAAGATAGAGAATTGAGAGAAAATGATGTGGAGACAGTGAGGGGGAAAATGCATAATCATGCAACTTTTTGGAGAAAAAAATATTTTTCATATTTTATTGTTTACATATGGTTGTTTTTATGTTACTTTAAAGAAATTATTTTGTGGTATTGTTGTTACCTTTAGTTGGTTTTTATAATATATATTTGTGTTATTTTTTGGTTAATTTAGTTGGTTTTTATAATATATATTTGTGTTACTTTTTGGTTAATTTAATTGTCATGTATGTATATGACCAATTGATTAACCTTTTTTTTGTGTTTTTTTGTAAACGTTTATGTTTGAAGATTTGAAGAAGTTTGAAGAAGAAGAAAATGGAAGAAGGGGAAAAGCGTGAAAGAAAAAGATAGAAGAGAGAGAAAAGAAAAGGAGAGAGAGAGAGAGGCAGTTAATGATTTAATTTTTAAATTAGTTGTTTAATAAATAACTTACTATTGGAGTATTTTTGGAATTCTATACAAGCGGACTCTTTAATGGAATATTGTTGTAAAAGAGAGGCAGTTATGTCCTTAAGCCGGGATGGTGTGGCTCAATTTTTGGTTTTGTATTAATTTTTGCATATTTAATTTGCTGCATGTTGGTGCAAGGAGTCGAAAAAAAAAAAATAAAGAAAAATCAAAAACCGAATGTGTAAAAAATATCGAAACGTACCGTAGTGTATAAAAAAACGCAATATAATTGTATTATATTTCAAACATATAGTATTATAAGTTATATTTATGTATAGAATATTAAAATTATAAATTATATAATAGTATTATATTTTAAAATTTGATCATTGGTTAAAATAAATAGTACACACGATTTGATTGTATACGAATCACTATATTGATTGCATAAAATATAATAAATATATACTTTTTATAATTTTGAGTGATCATGACCAATTAATTAGCTGAAAAATATTACATTTATTATAGCAATTGCTTATGTGATTTTAAGAAATTTTACTATGACATAAAAAAAATTAATGTATTAATAAACAACCGCTTCATCATATAAAAAACATTGATTTTAGTGTAAAATATAATTTTATGTAACTTTCATATATTATTTAGTATAAAATATAATTACTAATTTTAATATTAACTATTATATTATTCAATAAAAATATAATTATTAATCAATTAACATAAAATATAATAGTTTTTGTCTTAATTAACCCAAAAAAATGTAATGAAATATTTTCTTATTAATGAGATTGGGTGTATTAATGCCTCATAAATAAAATTTATTAGGTTTTCTTTATTAGGTTTTATTAATGATTTGCCACATAGGTAAAATTTATTAGGTTTTATTTATTAGGTAAAATTTATTGCTTAGCTAGCAATTATATATACTAGTATTCGACCTTGTGCATTTGCACAAATGTAAATAAATTTAAATATTATAAGTTATATTTATGTATATAATATAAAAATTATAAGTATATATGTTGATAAACGGATTTAATCAACGTAATTAAGGTAAAAAGTACAGTAAAGATTGCAGAAAATATGATTTTTATTGAAAATAATGAAGTCGGTTACATAATTGGTAAGTCGGTTTTTTCGTGTACACGAAGTCGGTAACAGAGAAAACCGAGATAAATATATGCGTTTTTCTAACTTTTTGCCGAATCCTCGTATCGTCTTTAATGCGGCTATTTATAGTTATGCTTGACACACATCCCAAGATAAATTAGCTTCATTTAATGAAGATTTGACGGCTTAGGGGCGGCAATGACGTAGGCAAACTTTTTAGGTAATGATGAGTATGGGCGCTCCTCTATCTGTGTGACAAGCGTCACTTCTGTCGGGTTGAAGTCGATGTTATTCTCGACGTCGACTTTTCAATAGAATTTTAACCCTCCATGACATCCGACAAGCTACTCTCTAACCGAGGTGGCAATCTTGAGGTTTTAACATTTTATCCTGACGACCTTTGGGATTTTTTTTGTCTTCGAACGTCATATGAGAACCGAGGTGATATTTCTGAAGTGCCAGCTACTTCGTTTTGTATTGTCAAAGACCCGGTTTGTGGTTTGGACTTTATGAAACCTTTAATCTATCCTTTATCTCAAGATAGTTAATCTTGATATCAACAATATAATTGTATTATATTTCAAACATATAGTATTATAAGTTATATTTATGTATATAATATTAAATTTATAAATTATATAATAGTATTATATTTTAAAATTTGATCATTGGTTAAAATAATTAGTACACACGATTTGATTGTATACGAATCACTATATTGATTGCATAAAATGCAATAAATATATACTTTTTATAATTTTGAGTGATCATGACCAATTAATTAGCTAAAAAATATTACATTTATTATAACGATTGCTTATGTGATTTTAAGAAATTTTACTATGACATAAACAAAATTAATTTATTAATAAACAACATCTTCATCATATAAGAAAATATTGATTTTAGTGTAAAATATAATTTTATGTAACTTTCATATATTATTTAGTATAACATATAATTACTAATTTTAATATTAACTATTATATTATTCAATAAAAAAAATAATTATTAATCAATTAACATAAAATGTAATGATTTTTGTCTTAATTAACCCAAAAAATGTAATGAAATATTTTCTTATTAATGAGATTGGGTGTATTAATGCCACATAAATAAAATTTATTAGGTTCTATTTATGAGGTTTTATTAATGATTTGCCACATAGGTAAATTTATTAGGTTTTATTTATTAGGTAAAATTTATTGCTTAGCTAGCAATTATATATATATATATAGATATATAGATTTTTTTCTTCATTTTTATAGTCATGGCTGATCTGATGACTTGAGAAAATTCAATTTCGCTCTCTAAAAGAATAAATAATTAAACCAAAAATCCAGATCCATCTTACATTTTATCAGAGACAGCCAAAGCTGAAGAAAAACCTCCACAGTGTTTTTCACTAAATAACTTGATCTAAACTTAGGAAGAGCTTCAAACCTCTATCANAAAGCTTGAACATTCACAAGACTCATTATAACTTCCTTCCAAAATATATTCTAATTTGAAGGAGGTGTGCCATCAAATTTAATTTATTTAGACTGCTCGAAAGGAGCCCGGACAAAGAGACGTCCATGCAAGCTAACCACGGCTGAAGTCTGAAGTGTGTCGATTTTTGCCGGTAAGGTTATCACCTGAAAATAAATAAATCAATCGAATAAAATTTCCGACACCTTGTTTATCCACGACTATAAACTTGAATTCATTTTCTAAAGAGACTCTTGGACCCTTTATCGTAAAAGTTTAGCATATTGGAAAAAAGAGATTAGTGAGGTTTTTATATTATAATTTGCCTGAGTATTTTGGTGAGTGCATATTATTCAAAGGGAGAAAAGGTTAAAGTACCTTTTTAAATGGCGTAATCCCCCAAGGATTATCGATTTGTTCAGGCTGACCTGTTATAACTACACGTCCATCAGGATCTGATTGAACGCGTACCTGAGTCACCAAACAAGATATATCGATTTACAAAAATTATTGTGTCGACTTGTCATACTTTCTGAAAAAAGAAAAAAAAAAAAAAATGCATGTGAAATGTCATATTTTTGTTTATGTTTTAAAGTATGTCACTTAAAAGTATGCATATTTGTTAAAAATGTATAACTTCCTAACGGTAGCACTACTGGTCGAGTTATGCATAGTTTTGTTCATGTTCAAAGTTGCACCAATGAGAAAATGTAGTGATGCACACAAGAAGTCAAAAACTATTTTTAAATAGACAGGATGCCATATTATTGTATTTCTTTATCAAGAAATTTCATAACTGCACTTGAGTGTGTTGACAAATTTCTAAACAACCAATTCTAGTTCCCATCATTCACCATGGCACACAAAACACAACAGAATGATTAAGAATTTTAAAATGAAATTATTATCTCGTTAAATCTATGAGTACTGATGTCCCAGCAAATTTTAAAATATGCTTTTCTGTAATTCATTCCTCACACCCTCAAACTAATAAACAAAAAGATGGAAAAGTATGACATCTAGTTATCAGGTTCCAATCACAAAACAACATAAAGTCGATGCTATTTCTCTCTCAAATAATAATGGTTAGAATGATAAAGAAAGGAGGAGGCCGTTTATGTCTTTCTATTTCACTTTTCTTTTTTTCTTTATTTGGTGCAGGGGAAGGGTGGGAATGGTATATTCGGTCCTATAGGTGGGAGCACTGGTTTCTTACCGTTAGATCACACATGCTCACACACATACCCACATGGGTGTGTGTTGTCATCGATTAAAAAAACTAACGTGAGCAGTAGGTACGAATTTACCGGTGGGAAGACTGGAAAGTCAAGCAAGAAAGGAAAAATTACGACAAAAGTCAAAAAAGGAGCACACCTCTTCACGTAAAAGCCCAGGAACTAGAGCATAGACCTCAAAACAATCTTTCTGCACATGCAAAATGAATAAATGTCAATTCCTATACCTCATGTAAATGTATGTTTGCAAGTGAGAAAAATAGAACCAGATAATTTGAAGGAAACATACAGTTTGGCGAACATTAATCTTCACCCAGTCCGCTGGAGGCCCAACATCAACAACTGACTGCACCAGTCTACAAACCAGAAAATAGTTACTCAAAAAATGTAATTCCATCACGGAATCGCCTAATAGGGGCAATAGCATCACAATGGTTTTATAGATACAATCGACAATCATTTNCGGATAAGCGGAAAACATTCAGTCAACGAATACAACAGATTTCGAAACATCTTTACACTCATAACACCTCACGTTTGCCACTTCCAAAAGGGAAAAATGAGACATCAGTCACACTTCTAGCTGAACCAAAAGAAAATTGGTGACAAGACTTAACTGCTTAGGTGTACCACTTCTGGCAACTTTATTTGAATGCTCTGTTTCATTTGGTCGTTTCTGTTTAAGAGAGCCTACACACAATATCAGATGAAGATAAGCCACTATGATGAATCAAGTGACACTGGACTATTGACAGTTTGAAAGAGGTTAATCTGAAGATCATTTACATAAAATATTCTGAAAAACAAGTGGCATACCGATACTTTTTATAATCTTCTCACGTTTGGCCGTATTGCTCACATTCTTGTCCTATAAAATTAAGTTCAACAAAATAGTGTGACCAGAAAAATGTGAACAGAAGTAAAAATAGGAAAACAATCTTAAAATGTTAACTCTGGCAGACCTTTATAATAGGTACACCTACCTCACTACCAGAAATACGTTGACCACGAGCAGCAGCATCTCTTCTAGCCTTTCCTGATCCTGAACCCTGATAACCACTTCCCTGTGTAAACATACATATTCAAATTTTCTGTTATGATCTTTAGGCTGACATATAAATCCAGTCATAGCAACATCCAACCATTGTCCCAAACTAGAAGTCACAAACACAAAAATAGAATAGATGCAAAACAACTACTGGCAATGGAAACAAAAACTCTCACACACACCTCGTTTTGATAGATATGTGATGAAGGTGTGAATTATCAAGACAACTTTATCATCTCTTAAGATTTGTTTGTGTAGCTTACTTTATTATTTCTGAAGAGTTCTTATAAGGAGTATAATTTTAGTGCGAACTTTATCCAACAAAACAGTTACTCTGTTATTACTATTATCAGAGGTGGTCATTTTTTCTATACACTTGAGCAGTGTCACATACATTGTCACATCAGTTCCCATCAAGAAGATGTTGCAGGCATTAAAAAGATAAGCCCTATGACCAGTCTGTGCTTAAATACCTCCAAATTATGACATACAATCTCTATGTATGACATAATTATGTACATTTACAGCTCAAAATCCTATACATAATAAGTTAGATAATCAAGACAAATGAAATTTTACTATCCCATTCTCCTACCTTATATAGTTTTTAAAGTGATCCTTGGCTTTGTGTCATAGGTTATAAATGCTCCTAACGTTATTAGATCACCATATACAAAGTTTCCACTAAATAAGTTAGTGAGATGAGTGAAATACTGTATTATGAGCAAACTCACCTCAGCATCAACACCAGAAGCTTCAGGGGCTGTTGGTATGGGAAGTCGAAGCTCACCAATTCGTATCTTATGCTTTTCATATTCCAGAAGAGACTAAATCATAGAGAAAAAATGGTTATAAATGTAAGAAAAATGTATCACTTAATTATTAATGATGTCGAATTAACGCAATTGCTATGGTTTGATTCTTTCACAATTGTGAAGAGATAAAGGATACTAGTAAAAGTAGTTTGACTAGAATTATCACCTTCTCATAGAAAATGCGGAACGTCCAAGAAACTGTAGTACAAGTTCTGCAACCAAAAAGAAAAAAATCAGAAAACAATTGAATCACACTTAGAAGCTTAATCCAGTTCCTATCAGTTTTGTTGAAAGCGTCGTATGAGTGTGCCTATACGAGATATGGGAATTATGAGAAGGAAATACTCATAACTAGCGCCTTTAACGAAGCCATGTAAACCAAATCCAAAGACAAAATAAAGCATCTTTTGAATATGATAACTATGAATATAAAAATTCTCACATGTAAAATCAAAGACAATCCAACAGGATGTCCAACTGGCAATGGTAGTAGAAATAATAATAATAAGAATAACAACAACAATAAAGAAAAGCAAGTACAGAAGCAGTTAAAAATTTATTCAGAAGCCAAACGGGCCTTACTTTGGTGGATGAAATGATTCTCCAACCTGTCTCCACAATTTGGCTCCAGTTACCTATTCAAGGATCACAAATTCATAAATACGGAAATGGCAGCTGAGAGTCCTCTACTACTACAACAACAAGCCGTTAAAATCCCACTAAGTAGGGTCGGCTATATGGATCACATGTCGTCATCGTGCTCGATCAAAACACATATCCTCATCAAATTTAAATATTTTAAATCATTTTTATTGTTTCCTTCCAAATTTTCTTAGGTCTACCCCTCTCCCTTTTAATTTGCGTTCTTAATTCCAGTGTTTCCACTCTTCTCACCGGGACCTCGAAGTCTCTCCTACGCACATGCCCAAACCATCTTAATCGTGATTCTCTCATTTTCTCTTCTATGGGCGCCCAACTTTATTTCTAGTACTTTCATTTCTAATCTTATCTAATCTAGTATGCCCACACATCCATCTCAACATTGTCATCTCTGTCACTTGCATTTTTTGATCATTTTCATATTTAGTAGCCACTCGAATCCATAAAGCGTCATCAGTCAAATGGCCGTTCGATAGAACTTGCCTTTCAAATTCATCACAAAGTATCGACGACGCACTCCTCAACTTGTTCCATCCCGATTGAATTCTGTTACATCCTTATCTATGTTGTTATTATCTTCTAAAATGTAACCTAAATATTAAAATTGTTAGATGTGTTCAATTCGTGTTCCCCAATTTTAACCTTTACCGCATTATTACTAGTTTGATTACTACAATTACACTTCATATATTCCGTTTTGGCCCTACTTATTTTGAACCCTGAGATTCAAGCGTCTCTCTCCATGTTTCTAACTTAGCATTTACCCCCTCTCTTGTCTTATCTACTAACACTATGTCATCCGCAAACAACATGCATTCGGTGACATCCAATTGCAAATGTTTCGTAAGTTCAACAATTACTAATGCAAAGAGATACGGACTAAAAGCGGAACCTTATGCAAACCAATAGTGATATGGAATTCACCCGATGTTCCTGCCGGTGTCCTAACACGAGTTTTCACATTATTATGCATTATGGTTCTATATAACCAACTCGTAACCCCCCAACACTCTCCACATTATACCTCTACTAACACTATTATATGTTTTTTCAAGGTCAATAAAGACCATAGGCAAATTTTATTTTTTCTCATTAAAATGTTCACAAAGTCTTACACGAATAACTTCCATTGTTGATCTACTTGGCATAAAGCCAAATTGGTTCAAATAAAATATCAAAGTGATTCAAATAGCTGCATTTACTTCTATAGACAGAAGAAGTGCCCATCTTCTCACCCACCCCACAAACCTACCCCACCCTTTACATATATTCACTTTCCCTTAACATTATAATGCCCATCTCTCTCCAGAAAAATGCAATCCCCAACCCATGCATTTAGAGATATGTATCTTTAAGCATTAATGCAGGTGAATATCCTACGTGTATACATTACATGTATTTTTCAAAATTTTGAAGTAGTAAAATATGGATAATGGAATTACTAACATCTATTTTGTTTAATAGACCTATTTTGTCTCACAGATCCCCGACCCGTGTCAATAGCGTAACTTCGATTTTTTTCTAAGATTTCAATATATGGACTAGTCTTCCATTAGTTAGAACGAAGCACACTTTTTAAAAATAAAAGTTAGCGGGGATCTTTAAACAGACAGACAAAAAAATTCAGTGACAATTAATATGATATACCCAAAATTATACATCTAAACATATTAACAGATTGCAGCTTGGTCTAGATTGCATGTCAATGGGAATATATACCCTATCAATGTATAATGTTTCACGCTCTGAATCGTGCTAAGAATAGTCTTAGATGTTGGAATATAGCATGATTAACTAATATTTCTATCATGGTATTTTTATTCCAAAACAGGCATAAGATAATCCAGATCCATAAAGTGGTGGTCGTGGATTCGGCTCAGCTGGCCGTTTCGTGGACTTTTGTATATACTCAGTTTGTATATATTTTGCCACGCTTTACATTTCCGCTGACGTTATTTTCAGAATCAAACTTGCATGCTAGTTTTCAGATTTTATCGGATCTCTAGACAGGTCTGGTTGAGTTACATGCTAGTTTGATTAGATTATATATATCTGTTTTCTTTATGTCTAAACCAGTATTTAGACCAAGTTAAAGAAAAACAGATTTTCAGAATAGATAAGTTTTGTAGCATCCCGAGTTAAGTTAAATGATTTCGAAAAATTTATATGTATTTTCGAAATAAGTTGCAAAAATTTTACTCTGATATCCAAGAGGACATTTTCATTTTAAATTCAAGATTCAACCAAACATTGCAGACAAGGTTCCAGACACAAATAATATGGACACACCTTTGGTATCAGATGCTCGACATAACAATAACCGAATTGTGCTTATCCAATGTGATTTGTGTATCCTAATTCTATTAAATGAAAATCTGTAAGACAGATGCACCTTGGAGATCATGTAATTTATAAGCATAATTCAGTATTTGCCTCAATTTGAGTCCGCGAAACCACAGCTTTTCAAGTCTAAAGCCTCATAAGAATCTAAATTTTCTAAGATACATGAATCCAGTTATATGCATGCACACCAAATTAACACGTAAATCAAGAGTACAAATATGAAAAAGTTAAAGGCCATAAGAAACGTCAGGACACGCATACCGTGTCGTAGCCTCCCAACTTAATCACGGCCCTCCATAACCTAGCAAACAACAAAGTTACAAAATGAACCCATGAGGCATACCCAATAACAAAATCGTTACAAGACTAACCGCAAGAGATGCTTACTTTAGGCAATTTAGCGGCTGCCCGTAAAATTTGGGAGGTTTGAAGTCTAGTGCCTTCTCCCTGTGAAAACTCTCAAGTTCCTTCATGAATGCAATTTGATCCTCCAGTGTTCCATCATCGCCTTCTCCCATCTAATAAAAAACTATTATATGTTACCAATGCAAATTTATGTAAATATAAATTCATATATATTCATATTTGTGGCATTTGTTCTCT